TCCGTTGCTTTGTCGGGTCGCCACGGGGGATCCCGCCTGGTGTTTCTGCGAGAGCGGCTCGTCTTCGGCTTTCAGGGAATGTGGAGGCTGGTCGGGCGCCCCTTAAGCGCCCTCCCGGGGGCGCCGGCGCCGACAGGTCAGAGGGTCGCCGTGCCGTCCTGCTGCTTTACGGGTCGCGGGGGGAGGACGCGCCCCTTCTCGCAGCGCCGTGCTCTGGCCCTGTGCCTTTTGCAGCGCAGCGGTGAAGTCTTTCGCGTGACCGGTCCGGTTGCAAAGCCCACCCCCTCTTTAGGGACGGGAGTGGAATGGTTGGACTCCTCTTCCACGCCGGCCTCTCTGCCCCGCAGTAGTGGGGCTTGTGATTGGAGCGAGGTTGCTGCGGATGATAACCAGATCCCAGAGGCAAATATTTCCTGTCTATCACAGTTGCGAAAGCAGAGAAACTCTCTCCAGTATAAATTGTCATTACCCGCCACAGGTCTTATTTATAATAAAGATGAGCTCGTGATCAAGTTTGGAGGCCGGGCCCTTGTTGTCTGGTGCCTCTCTTTCAGGCAGCGGCCCTTCTGTCCTCAGTTGCGAGCTTGGGCGAGATGGGTCGGTGATGGTCTTCAGACACAGCAGTTTATTCTCTGTTTCTCGTTCATCCAGCTTTTTATGTCTGCTTCCTTGTTGTTTTCTTTTCATGTGATACTGTAACTGGTTTTTGCCCTCTACTATAGCCAGGGCTGCTGGGATAAATTCTTGCTGGACTCAGATGAGCTGCTGTGACTTGCAGAAGTGTTCGGACTATAATTTCCACCATACCCCGTCAGTATGCCTAACAGGCAAAACAACGTGATGTCTTTGGAGGAAATATAACTGTAACTTCCTACATAATATAGAAGAGAGATATTTCCAGGACCTGCTACTGGTTTGTTAGAGGGAAGATGCCTTGATAAGATTTTGTGCATGGGCCAGTTCCTTCTCGGCAATAGCTTTTTCTGCATTTCTTTTTTTGTTGTTTATTTGTTTTTTGTTGTTTAGGTTTTGGTGGACTCAAGATTCTCACTGCTGGCTATAGGAAATATGGGCCGCTTCCAGATTATACAGGTATGCTGAGGGATAGAGGAGAATGCTACTAAAATGGTGTTGCTTTTATTGTTGTTTTTAAATGGTGGCAAGGTGAAATGTACAGTATAGCTTGCATTCCTACATCATTATTCAGTCCTCGCCCGTTGTCTGAAGCCTCGGACTAAACGCATGGATCTGGGAGTATGTTCTATTGAAGTCACTGGGACTGACTTACAAATAGGCATGTGTAGTATTACACATAAGTTGTACATAACTTCTCATTTTAGCAAAACTTGAAACAGTATCCAGTCAAAATATACATAATGAATTAAAAAATATCCTAGTTTAAAACTGAGGGAAAGAAGGGAGAATAAAAATGAAGCCCAAACCCATTCATATAAGAAAAGTGTGAATGAAGAAATAGGTCTTCAACAGGGCTCTAAAAGTATAATATAGCGAGTGCATCATGAATTTCAGGAGGGAGAACTTTCCAGCATGATAGACGGATACTTAATCGGAACATCTTTCTTATGTTGTTATTCTTTTCTGTTCCTAAAATATTCCCAATTTATGCCCTTGAGCTGTCATGCAATTAATGTATATGGTCTCCTATATATACG